AAGAATTAGTTTGCAATGTCGTATAGAAAAACAGAATGTAGACTAAAACACTACTAGTACCCATAGTTGATCAAATATTCGTAGTTTTGTCCAAATTATTGAGCTACAGTTCTCAATTTGTTTTCTGAAACTGAATACGTGATTAGTAGTTCAACATACCTCTTTATGGAGAGATACTTTGCTTAAAACTTGCTAATATGTAATATTTTATATGATTTTATTTTTATTTTCAACACTCGACTTTTTCTAACAGCCTCTAGTTGTATACTGCAAAATGTTAGTAGTGGTAAGATACATGACCCAGCAATGGCTAATTGCTACTCAATTTCCTGAATATATTTGATATTAAAAATGTACAAAAATACGGATTCACGTTACATTATTGCAATTCCAATATTAGTAAAATCATTTCAGCTTTTTCTATAAATATAAAACAAATTAAAAGTATTAATTTATCTGCTATCTAATCCTAGGTACTAAAACACACAAGATATAAGTTTCATAAGTGTGAAGCAAGTGAGAGGCCTTCAATTCTTCCTTTTCAAATGTGCTTCAAGTGTCCACTTACTCGTATCGTTACCCCACATTCACGCACGATTACAATAACATCTGTCACGTCACCTGTATTTTGTCGGCTCGCCGCGCCATCGCCACCACGTTGACCCCGGCGTCCTGCAGCTGGTAGGCGATGGCTGCGCCTATTCCTGCGCTCGCGCCCGTCACCACGGCGACACGACCACGCCAGCGCTCCATGGTGATTCACCGAGCACCGACGGTTGCAAGACCAGCGCAAGATGTCCGTCCTCTGTCGCGCGCTTCGCCGATCGTCTCGCGTTGTCCGTTGCGGAGCAGCAACTGAGCGGGGAGCTGCTGCTTTCATCGACGCAGATGCCTTGTAGCGCTTGTAGATAAGATGGTATCGTCGTTCGGACGATTTTGTGCAGTGTCAGCTCTTGGATGGTGTTGCCGGGTAGAGGAGGGCTTCCCATAACGTTGCTCGATATGTAACGTCCCGTTTATTCGACGAAAAGATTCCGCTGCTATAAACAGCGCTCGCGTGAAATATGCGTAATGCGAGAAAGTCTGTGCTAAGATGAGGCATCACAAAGATAAATATTTCGGGCTGGTGATGCCATTTAGTTTTTGGAATACAGAGAGTGATGCTTACTGAATAGAAAAAATACACAGAAACAAATTTCATACAATGAATTACTTTCTAAAATACATAATAGTTATCTGCATCTGCCCCATATTCTGCTATGAACCTCAAATTTTGTCAGAAGTACACGTTTTGGACAATTACAATATCATCCACTAAGATTCGTTCTAATTGATCTGGTTACGTAAAGGTGAAGTTATTGAAAATTATGTACTTGAATTTAGTTGATGTGTACAATTCTATCTTCATAAAATTGCTTAAAACATCACGCCACGTCTAGCATCTAATACTTATAAAGCCAACTTTATTAGTAAAATTAACATTCTCTGTTTATATATGCCCAACAACATGGTTATCAACGACGAATCTATTATCAATGGCCTTCAACGACTTTCGTGGCCACACTATCTGGAGAGTGTTATGCAATCTCGAACATCTAAATTCCTATTTTTCCCGTTACAGCAGCCTCAGCACATCTGATAATACCATAGAACTTTTACAACATCGATGTTTTTAGTCTGGTTGTGTAACCTCCAGCATTAAATTCGAGTATATTAAAATTTAATGTTCGTGTTAATGAAATCACCGATTCAAGTCCGAGAAGAACGAGGTAGACCCTACGCCCATAGCGAATTTGTTGCCTCATCTCAATGTGCGAATTGAACATGAATAAAGAGGAAATATAAGGGCATGGAGGTCATCTCAGGCGAAAGAGTTTGGTCAAAGAGGTAGTACAAACAACGTTCCTTTGGTTGCAATGAATGAACTAACAGTATTACCATAAGTACATTTTAACTTTTACAGTGTTGTGATCATGTGAATTTTTCATTGAGAAACAAAACATCGGAAAAAGAAAAAAAACATCGATCACAACCATCGATGTTAAAAAGCATCGGCGTTTAACATCGATGTTTAAAACATCGGTTTCTACAAAAACATCAACGTTTCCAGAAAATCATCGATGTTTTGAAAACATCGACATCGATGTCGCATCCATACATGCAAGCAACCCGACGCGGTGGCCGGCGGGCGATATCGCCGTCGGCGAATGGAGTCGACGCCCAGACCGCGGCGCTGCAAGATGTCAGCGCCCCCACGCGACCTCAACGAAATGCGAATGGACAACGGACACTTTGATCTCAGTTGGTGCCGTGACGAGAAGGTTCAAGTGTAAATTGTGTGAAGAATGTAAATATAATAATAATAATAATAATAACAATAACAATAACAATAATAATAATAATAATAATAACAACAATAACAATAACAATAACAATAATAATAACAATAACAATAACAATAACAATAACAATAATAATAATAATAATAACAATAATAATAATAATAAATTGCTTCCAGAGACCACTGCCGCAGGCAGGCAACGCAGAAGGATGAAGTGGACTATAGAA